GAACCAGTCCCCATCCAGAAGAACAAATCTACAGGTCTCCTCTCTTACATGTTCCAACCATAGGAAGTCTATTTCATCCAACCATGGCTCTCGATCATTAGTTCGTTTTCCTGCCAGGAATATCGCGCTCTTTGGTTCCTGTATGCTCTTGCCAGCATGGACTGACATGTTGTGCAGCTTCTACAATCTTCGGAATCTCAAAAGGACTCATCCATTATTTGAGGAGGAGGCCACCAGACTCGAGATATTTGTCTAATCAAACCAGAGAAGCATCGTAGGGCGCATAGTGAACTGTCTCAAACAAAAGATAAGCAAACTTTATTAAGGAATAGGGGATTGGTCTAAAGAAACAACTAAATATCTTAAATCCAGAAAGAACCTTATATCTGCCAGGTAGATAACACAAAGAAGAATGACCCTGAATACTTTAAAGCAAATGAACATGAGAGTTATGTCCAAACTAAGGTTTTTTCTTTCCAATTTCTTAAGACAAGTGGGCAGAAAACCTTGATACCTTTCTACTAATATGTCGCTGAGTCAGAAGTAAATTAGATTGCACAAAAAGAATGCAGTGATGTAGCTTCAAGACATAGGTACGAGATAACAAATCATAACGCCTCTCGTCAAACTAGAATGATTGACACTATTGATACAACCGTAAATTAAATGCCCAAAAGAAAAGCTTGATTTTCCTTTTTGATGCATTCAAGGATTGGAAATTACTTTCTGTCTGTCATGACAAAATCAAGAAAACGTTTCCATCTACAAATAAACAACCATACATTAAGAAAAGCAAAGAAACGCAGGAAGCATAGTGTTAATAGGATTAACCCTACTATCAGTGACTTTCTAAGAACCAACCCCCCACAAGCACAATTTGTTCATTACATTAAGAGATTTCCTCAGCCCCAGCAAACTACCTCGACGCAGTGAACTCAGGCCCTGTAAATGAGCAAAATCAAACACTCAAGTTGCCCCCAAATTTTCAAGATGGTAAATATCAACTTCATAACAATCCAAAATATCGTCTTATGGCATTAGAACAGAACGAACCTTGCAGCACTAGATTTTTTGTGGAATATTAAGTGCTGAAGGAGAACCAAAACCTAAAGCTGGAATAAATTGTGGGCACAGGTAATTAGTCGTGATGCTATTCTTGCACTGGATTTCAGACATGGAATCTCCAACATTCTCCTACAAACATGTCATGAATACCCAGGAGGAATCAGCAATATAGAGGGCAGCAGGCACCAGTCTGCTTTCAAAGAGAACAATGTCAACGAACGCAACTCAATTCATGTTCCAGCCATATATGCTTGGGCTGAACCAAATCTTCTCATCATTTAGGAATGGGAGTGGCTGTGACCGCAGATAGGAGTTAAATGTAATGCATAAAATTCACAGTTTTGGCACATTTTGTGACAATCTGCAAGTAACTAGTGGAGATCCCAGACAACACTCCAGTACATGGCTTCTGTTGGGCAATACAACGAGGGAGACAATGGGACCGGAACAGATTGGCCCATATACATCATGGATGAACCTAAAAATAAGAAACAAACAATGGTTAAAAAACAAATATTATTCGCAACTAATTTCAGTTACACCAAAGTAAATTAGAGTCAACATTAGTTCCCCACTCATTAAGAGTCTTCGCAACCCCACCCTGATGTCTGAGCATACCGCTTCACAGAGCTTCCCAGATGCAGTTCACTAAATTTGGCGCCAGGTTCGAGCCGAGAGCCACACCTCTTTTTGGATCAGATTTCCCATGAGTTCAGGCAATTCACAAACCATATCACAGACATCTAACCAGGGTCGTCATCTAATGAGTATTGGTGTCTTAGATAAATCCTCATCTACATTCTGTCACACTTTAGGATGTTTTATAATGATTTCCTTGTAATCTAGGTGTAATGTATGCACGTGGTGTTAACAGTAATTATATATTCAAGTCTCCAGACCAGCAGTTTTTTATTATGCTGCAACACATGTTAAGTTGTCTAATTATACTGGGAGAGGAGAATTCTGGTTATTTTTGTTATGCTACCCCAATAGTGTTATCATTATGTGAATTTTCTGTAACTTCATGGTGTGTGTGACATAGTTAACATTAATTGGCCTTTGCTGAACGTGTTGAGCCTTCTGGTGGAGAGCCAGCAGGAGGTTGTGGGGTGGTTCAGATAGGTCAGTGAAGGCTGAGACCCCTGCTGCTGTTCAGATGCCTGACTTAATAGAACAGGTATTCAGATGATTACAATGGAACAGATAATTCTACAAAGAATCCCAGTGATCAAGGCATTGCAAATCTGACATCTCCGCCCCTCTAATTGATGATCTCTTTGGAGACAGTTCAGGTGCTGGTGCGAGCACCAGGAACAAAATAATGATGATGACCCGTTTGCAGATGTCTCGTTTCACACCAATGAGGGTCGAGAGAATGCAGAGGATCTTTTTGGGATGACTGTTGATGATAAGCCAGGTGTTTAATGAAAATCTTGGCATAGCCGATAAAAGGGCCTGAACTATTTGATATCTTTGGCTAAACTCTGAAGTTCTGTCAAAGCAAGAAAATCAGAAAAATGATGTTAATGACTTAATGGCTGGCTTGTCCATTAGGAAAACCTGTAATTCGGATCGAAAGGAGCTTCATCTGTGGCACCATCTGAACATATCTTTTCAGATCCGAAGCAATCTAGCAATCAGACCTCTGGCAATCATTTAGCAACCTACTTGGTCCAAACAGCTGGGATGAGTGCAATCAGCGCTTTCCCTTTGGTGCTATGCCATATAACATTCCTCCTGCATGATGTTCAATCCAGCTATTGCTTCTCACCAATAAATTATGGTGCCATGGGGAGTTTATTTGCTCAGCACAGTTCCTTGCTACAAGTCAACTTTCAACAGCTTGGTAACCTGAACGCTCAAATGCTGGTGGCAGTAATGTGATGGGAACTAAGGAGGCTATCCTTCACCGCTTCGATATATTCCAACCGAATTTTGCAGCTCCAACTCCTAGTCCAATGACAGTTCAGAAAGAGGAAACCAGAGCATTCGATTTATCTCTGTAAGTTTATTCTGGCAGTTGATTTTTATTTTTTAGTTTTTATATTAATCTTTTAGATGTTAAGTTTACATTGTATAGTTTGAGAGTTATTACTATAAACTCTTAAAGTTATAGTAATATAATGGTGCTTTAGTACTTTTTGAAATTGGAATGAATTTATATAAACATTGTGGCCCAGAGTTTTAAGATTTATATAAACATCTTATAGGCACAGAGTTGTAAAGCAAATTTGGACATCTTTTATCTGTCATTGCTCTTAATTCAAACAATCACTCTGTATTTGAAATTTACTTTTTCTCATTGCATATTTTCTTTTTATGCTTTTCTGGAGAAAATGAATCTTGAATTGACTCTTTTAAGTTGTTTTCGGAAGGATATGAAATCCATGATAATGTTGTGATCGTGTCATCATGGGACCATCTTGCTTCAGTCGTGATCCAAAGAGTTCTTTAAATTTGGGCAAATTGTCTACTACGAGGCAAGTAGATCAAAAGCAAGTTGTTTATCATACACCAAAGAGTTTCTACTTTTTTTGCAATAATGGAGGGAGGTATGGCTGAAAGAGCACGAGTAGAATTAGCTATTTTATTGTTTGTATTTGAGTTGGAAGAAGAATGAGACATTTCTGTGCAGTTAGCTCTTTTATAGTTTGTTTTTGAATTTGTCACTGATTTCATGCATTCCATTGTAATGAATCTGTAGAGTGTTTTCCCCTCTTTTCCTTTTTTTTTTTTTTTTTTTTTTTTCTTTTGGTTTGTTTCCCACATAAACAGAAGTAATGCTAATCTTGTGATAAATGAATCTGGACGGACAGAATAGTCAATAAAAATCATATACGTTGTTTACTTGTCTAACATTTGTATCTTAACTTATTGTAAATGACTAATAATGCATTGTCATTCATCTTTCACAAACACAAAGCTTTTGGAATGTTACAGTCTTTGGTTGGTTTCGCCATTTTCATAGAATTCTAAAGCTTCAAAAGTGGGGTGCATTTGTTGAACTCATTTTTCTGTAATGGGGTTTGATTGCTTTGACTCTAGAGCCCCTTTGCTTGGTTTGGCAAGCATGGCGCTCCTATTCTTACTTATGTGTGGGATTACACCTATATCAAATTCAAAATGACTTTGAAAGGGTTTTAAACAAGTACGGTAAAAGGGAATCATAGAACTACTTTGAAGGAAGAAATTAAGCAGTCACTAAATCATCAACTTTTTTGGTTTGTTGCAGCGTAATGCCATCCTCTCGCGGGCACTATAGAATATAACCTTTGGGTAGATTGTTAGCAAATTTATTTAAGAGTAGGCAACACCTACAATCTTTTTCAAAATTTTTTTTATAATCTGATGTGACAGCTCATAATTATATGTAATAGGTTATACCTGATATTATGTGGCTATTAATTGTGAATTACCATATTAGGGTTGTGAAAAAGTTTTTCGAAGAAGTTGTGGTTAGTATTACTCTTTATTTAATAGTGTCAGCGATGTTACTGGATGTGTTGTTACAACATTTAACCTCCGTCAATCAGTATTATATCGTCTCTTCTAAAAAAAAACAATTTACAGATTAGCAAAAAAACATCTTATAACTTTTATTTATTTATAAACCAGAGTCGAGTAAAAGAGAGAAAACTTATACAACCACCTCGGGTGGTCGAGTGGTTAATAGAGATTTTTTGAATGTATTTCTAAAAGATCTTGAGTTTGAATCTTTATCGTTGCTAAAAAGGTGGCCTTAGAGTTTTTACCTGACCACTTTACAGGATAGAAGATGCAGTTATAGCATCAATAACATCATCTGACCTCTTTACAAAGCAATTTAGTAACACCATCTGACTCATCTTTACAAAGCAATTTAAGGTATGGAAGAACTTAGGAGCACAGGCAAATCTGCTAGATTGATACTCATCAAATCAAAGGCTATGCATGTTTTATGCATGCTGCATCATCAACTGCAGGAATCTTTGGATGTCTTTGGCGTAAGTGGTGAGAACAATCCGATAAGCACCTGACCCGACTTCAATGGCTTCCTTTGTTGTGCTGTGTTTTTTAGCTACAGCATCCTCCACCTGGCCATCCTCATAGGTTGCCTGCAACATGAAAACACACCACAATCACGAAAGTAACCTCACTCAGAAGCTGAAAAGTCATAGCTAGGACCCTGAATCTATTCGAGTTTAAAAGTTCATCGATTGTATACAACGATGTTGAAACATTTCAATGTAGCAAATATTGCATCACCAATTGAAAGCTTGAAATTGGATTTATAACTTGCCTCGTGTATAAGGACTGTCGCTCCACAGGATGCTTCTGCTAGCGCGGGCAGGGCCTGGTATCACCTGAATATACAATCTTCCACCGGGTATCACTTTTCCGGCACCATTGATTTCTTTCTGATGCCTTCAAAACAATACCAAATGCCTCTTGATAGTGCACACAGGAATACTAATCAAGGTCTCCAACCCTGCTTCGTGGAGCACTTTCTTTAGGCTCTCTAGCAATGGAAAAAGCGCTAGAGTTATCAGACAGATTCAACTCAGAATGGAGCGCATTTTTATGGTTCAAATCCATTATTATTAGTACTTCCCTGAGCCAAAGGATCCTATGCAATTCAAATTGTGCTTAAAATCAATCCATGAAGATTGTAGTGTATCTACAGTTAATGAACTGATATCTAAATCTTCAAGTCTTTGATATGCATCCAGAAAATCCTTAAGTTGTGCTGGGCCTACAACGAGCAATGGTTCATGAGACACACCTTTAACAAGTCATGTCGTAGAGCAAGTATTCTTGCCAAAGCCAGCCTGGTGAGCAGCTGAATATGAGAAATCCAAATGCACCTTAGATTCCTCACAGCACTGTCAGCACCTCTATACCGTATCTGTACTCAGGCAGACAAGCCACAACAATAAGCTTTTGTCACTTCAAAAGAATAAAATAACGGAAAAGGATGGAAACCTTGTAGCAGATGTAACATGTAGTAAAAGTTTCGAAGTTGTTACCTTCTTCTCAGTTGTCCCAGGGTTCCTTCTCCACAATCAAGAGCAAGCTTCCTTTGGAAAAAAGATTATATAGATAGAACTAACATTCCGGTATTCATAAGGACGGGCAACCAGTCCCCAGAAGAACAATCTCTAGGTCATCTTTCCTTACATTCTCAAACAACTAGGAAGCTTTCTATCACTCATTTCTCCATTCCTCTTGTTCTGGAGGCTCTTCCAGATCTGGCTGACATGTTGCGCACGATCTACAATCTCTGGAATTTCCGATGTATTATCCATTAATTCTGAGAGGCACCCCAGACTTGGGATCTCTGTTCTATCAAGTCCAAGTGAGCATGAGGAGAAGAGGAACTGATCAAGTATGAAACACTGTTCAGGTTTCCTCTTAATAAAAAAAGCACTAAATCAGTATGAAAGCATAGTGTTAAGAGGAAACTGAGTCACTGAATTTCTCATCTAAACTAAATAAAAATATTCATACCTTCAGTAGATTTTTGCAGAACACTTTCGAAAGCCTTGCAACAGGACCCTAATATTTAAATTTGACCTTTTAAACAATAAAATACATGAGGTGCATGGTTGTACCACAGACAGACCCTCCTAAAACTCGGCCAAAGTGAAAAGAGACTGTGAGGTTTAAAATAAGAAATCAGCAACCTCTCTTTGTATGAGACAGTCAATACTTTGTCATGATATAATGCTAAAACATTAATCGCATAGTAAAAAAAAAAAAAAGTTTTGCAGAGAAAAAGAAAAAAAATTCTGATACATTTTCATTGGTTTCCTCATCAAGGACATCACACTGGAGTACCCCTGCATGTCTCGGAGCAGACCACGAGAAAGAAAATTATGTGATATACCGAGAAAGATCACCAATATTATCAGTCACTATCAATACAACAATATTCAACTCAAAAGAAGACAAACTTGGAAATATGTATTAGAGATAGGGATTACAAGGGAAAGAAAATGAATGTTGTTCGGAATTCCTACGTTGGTAAATAATCTTAGTGCTCGGTACAGAATACGTTGCAATCCCTGCAATAAGAAGTAGTTGCATTAAAGTAACAGAAAATTGATAGGTGTTCATATGTATGAAGCATCACAAACACATTGATCTTATCATCTATCTCCCGGCAGTTTTAGAAGATAAACAGTATATTACCACTGTTAAAATAAGACGAGAATGCCATTTTCCCACCCAAAGTTTACCCGAAGACTTTGCCCACCGACAACTTTGAAAAAAAAAAACCATTTCTTCACACCATGTAAATTTGTTAGACGATTAGTTTTAACCAAAAATAGACATTTAGTCGGATCAATCTAGTTTAGGGTAATATTGCTGACGTTCTAAATTACAAACAAAGATAATTATCTTCACTCACTTGAAAAACTAAGCACTAAACCCAAATCTTCAATTTCTATATTACAATGGAGGTTTCACTTTTTAAACTATGTTGTGTTTCTAAAAAAATTTGAAAGGATAATATTATTTTACAACTTATAATAATATCTGTCAATAAATATTTATAAAACTCAAAACATATTTCTTTTAAGTAGTATATTATTTGAATCTATATAAATTAATCCTAAAAAAAAAAATGTAAAAAGATAGAGAAATCCCTAAAATAAAAAATTTATGAAAATTTGAAAAAAAAAATAAATAAACACAACGAATTTTTTTTTTTTTGGTTAAATGATAATAATAGGTAAAATAAAATAATTAGTAAGAAAAATATAAAATATTAATATATTGAATAATAAGACATAAATAAATAAAAATTGGAAAACAAAAAAATTAAATTGGGCGAAAGTACCATGATGCGTGTTTGATAAATCGCTGGCACCATTGGATAGAAACGACTATCAACAACCAATATATGGGATTTTGTAGCTATCTCGTTTGCCTAAAAAAAAAGCTGAAAAGGAATTTGGCTAAACTTCTCCAACGAAACCCTATGCTAAGCTACCGTTCTTAGACGTAAAAATAACCTATACGAGAAGGATGGAACGATCCGGAGGTGATGCACTAGCGGATCTGCTGACTTCACACACGTAAGGAAAAACAACATGAAGCGACCGGAAAATTACGGGTGGTGTTTGCGTAGCACTCCGACACTCAAGTAGCAAGGACGTGAGAGAGCTATTAGTGAGGGCTGGGAGTAGAGAGGTTAACAGCAAGTCTATCGGGGACGTGCACTACGCAGCTGTAATGCGAAGTTCTCCAAAGGAGAACTTCGGTAGGTAATGTAATGTAATGCCTTGTGTAGAGGTGATGGTCTCTGGTTAAATAGTGACTGTATGGTTTCCAATCTGTGGGATGGAGTCTCGTGTAATAGGTATACCTTAGGGAGTAATCTTTGGTCCCCTTTCTGGAGTGACCAAGGGGGCCCGAGCATGACTCGGATACAGCGACATCTGGAGGGAATTAGGACAAAGTGGATTGCTTCTAAGAGTTCCAGTCTGAGTTTGATCGTAGGTGACGTAGGGCTCCCAATTTGACCATAACCAGAGAGTTGTTGGGATCAGGAGGCTCGGGGTCCAGTGTACATGACAATGACTTCATACCGACAGGCCTCATCATGGAGGATTCTGCTTGGGCTGCTCGGACTGGCCTAGGCTTTCCTTCTTTGTCAGAAGTGTTCCTCTTTGACCAATGACATTTTTTTATTTGGGCCCTACTTACAATGGTTAGGTAGATCAACCAAGGATCCAACCCTAACGATTGCCGAGGTGCGCTTCAGACACATTATTAGAAAATGGTAGCATCCTCACCCTCAGCGATCATGTGGCACTTCCCCGGTGTGCAATTCAGTTGTTAATTTTTTATTTTCATTTACTTTTATTTTAATTTATTTTAAACCATCTAAAATTATGAAACCAAAATTAGGGGCATTAAGATAAACGTATTGGGTGGAAAATGTGATTGCAACCTGTTAAAAATTATGAAGTCCAAGAATAAAGGTATTATAGTCTTTCTGTAATTTTACCTTGTTAACTTCTAATCAGGGAAGTCCTTGGAAGTGATAAAGTAGACCTGCAAATCGGGCGGGGGCTGGGTACAGGTTGGGTCTATCGGGTACAGGCCCGAAACGAGGCGATTTTAAACAGGTCCAATATTTTGGACTCGTACCTTACCCAATGCGAGTATAGGGGGACCGAGGGGTCCGCACTATCATTATAGTTGTTAATCTTTGCAATGACACCCTCATAGTTTGATGCAAGTTTAATATTTTATAGTTACGACTCCCATAATCATACTACTCCAAACTTCAATTAAATCACTCCTTTTCGGTTTGGTGAAAAACAAAAGTTCTATCGTTCAATTTTCATCTTCCAAGTATGAATAAAAGTAAATCCAAACCAATAAAATAAGGCTCAGTTAGGTTCATTATTTCTGATAGTTTTGGTAGAAAAATATTTGAAAAAAAAGTAAAATTGGGCGGGTATTACGATGTAAGATTGGAAAAACAAATAACAACTACCTCTATGTTGTTTAGTTTGTTAAAACCCTATAACTAAAATATTAAAAGTTAACAAAAACACATCAACCCGACCCATTAAATAGAACAGCCGGCCATCACAGCCGAAGGGTGACGGAGTGTGTTTTTCAATTTAAAAAAAATATTGGGTGTTATTAAATAACAAATTTATGGTGGTTCTAAAAACAATTAAAAATAGAATAACATTTGAAAATACTGACCTTTTAATATTTAACTTTTATGGGGAAGGATTCCGAATAGCGGGGGTTTTCTTTTTACAAGGGAAGCCTAAATTTCGCATATGTAAATGACTCAAATCAAAACATGATAAAGCAGCCCAAATTTGCAACCAAAAAATAATACAAAGCAAACAACCCCTTTTCAAATAAAGCACACAAATTAAATCCTACAAAACAAAAAAACCATTTTTCAGACCAAATTTTCCCACAATAGATCCATTGTCAAACCATCACTGGAGCTAGCAGCTAAGCAATCAAAAAGGAGAAGAAAAAATCTTAGATGCAGCCAAAACAAAAAGGACACAGAACATATAAAACGGCCAGCATAAACAACATATGCACAGACTAGGGGAAACTCCATTGCCCATAAAAACCCTACTCAACAAAAATTACACAACATAACAAGGACCAAAGAGGCAATTTCTGCGCTATCCACTTTAATCCAGCACAACAAAAACTTGCAGACCCCAATCAAAAGCTCTATGCCTCTTCTAGTACTTTCTGATTTCTCTCAAACCTAAAGTCATAGCCTAAAACGACTGCGGTTCTTCATACTCCTCACCGAAGGAATTTCGAGTAGCCTTGGCTAGTTTTAAGTAGCGCATTGCATCAGGGACTGCCTTGTTGTTTGAGTGTCTATTTAGCAAGCCTTTGAAGGTTGATGATTTGAAAGATGGTTTCTAGTTAGGATGAGCAGAGGAAGTGTGAAGCGACGGTGACGGGGGGAAAACGGGAGTTGAGTTTGTAAGGTGATTATGTTAGAGTGAGGGATGTGGCAGTATTATTATTATTTTTTTAATTTCAAATAGGTACCCGGGCACCCGTGGGTCGTTACCAGACTACCCATTTACAAAAAGGGTCAGGCTCGGGACGAATCCAAAAAATGGATCCAATCTTAAGGATTCATACCCTTATTATTTTTACTCGCCCAGTACTGGCCGCCGCCCGGGGTAGGGAACCGTTTGTCAGGTCTAGTGGACAAGTCAACGTTATCCAAAATAGAGAGAACAGTACTCATAGTTGAGTAGAAATTTTACCTCTCCAACATGAAAATAAAATTTGCTCGTAAACGAAGGCAGGACTGAAGGAGAAGTGTGCATGAGTATCCATTCCAGTACCCAGGAGCTGTATCTTAAAAAAAAAAAAAAAAAAATTCAGACACTTAAATAAAAACAAATAAGAAAACTTCAGTTCCATAAAAATTAAGAACCCGAACCACATCAAAAAATCACACTTGAATAGAATCCATAAACATAAAGTGACCTCTTTCAGAAAACTCAAAAAACTAACTTTAACCCAGTTCC